AGGAGGTCAATCTATGATCAAAACAATTACAGTGTATAAGAAGGTAAACACAGAGGAAAACATCCAGGTGGTGAGGTCAGGTAGATTACAGATTAAAATAGATTGTCTTTTAAATGGAAGGAAAAGTTAATGGAATATAAGGTAACCACAATGGTGGGGTTAGGGTTGAGGGAGGTGACGGTAGAGCACTGAAGGGCAGACACCTCATAGTTCAGGTGTTGGGGAGGGCAATGCAAGAAGGAGGAAAAGATGGAAGAACAAGGTAAATGGAGCAATGAAACAGGTTTGCATGGGCTAAGTGGGACATAGGTAAATAGTGATGCATGCTCAAACAGAACAACAGGGCTCTGTGATACAGGGATCTAGGCATAGTTTGAAGAGGAGAAATAATACTAAGATGCTTGACTGTCTTATGATTATTGGTTTTCCTAGCCTACTATTGTAAAATAGACATTTGAGTGGGATAGAAAGGAATGTTGGGAAACATGATTACAGAAAACTTAAAAGAGATCCATATTTGTGCTTATTACCAAGAAAGGTGACCCAGTAGAATGTGGAAATTGTCAAACAAAATCATTAATGCCACATGCAAGTAAAATTTTGCAGAAGGTAATTCAGTACGGTTGTAGAAACACAGGAATCATCAACATGTTCATGAGTTTGATCTCAGAAGTCTCCAGAGATTTTCAGCAGAGGGTGGCACAGTGGATGATTGTGTGTGTTATGCAAAGAGTACTGGAAGTCAGAAGACCTGTGTGAGCCCTGGCTCTGATCTTTATAGGACCTTTCTGAGCCTGGATTTCCTCATCTCAGAATATGAAACCAGAAATTTAAGCCAGATTCAGAAAAGGACATGGAACAAAGAGTATCATTGCTGATGTCATGGATTTTGGCTGAAAGCATAGAGCACCAAAAAGATGTTTACTTGTGCTTTATTGACTATGCAAAGACATTTGACTGTGTGAAGCATAACAAACTATGGATAACATTGTTGTTGTTGTTGTTAAGTACCGTAGAGTCAGTTCCGACTCATAGTGACCCTGCACAGGGTTTCTGAGGCTGTAAATCTTTACGGGAGCAGAAAACCTCATCTTTCTCCCATGGAACAGCTGGTAGTTTCAAACTGCCAACCTTAGCAGCCTGTTCGTAACCACTATGCTACCAGAGCTCCTTAGAATGCTTAATTGTGCTCACACAGAACCTGTGCATAGAACAACCTGTTCAAATAGAACAATAGGATACTGCGAGATTTAAAATCAGTAAAGTTATGTGTCAGAGTTGTAGCCTTTCACCATACTCATTCCATCTGAGCAAATAATCTGAGAGACTGGACTGTATGAAGAAGAAAACGGCATCAGGATTAGAGGAAGGTTTAATTAGTCTTCTTATGCAGATGACACAACCTTTGTTGTTGAAAGAAGAGGACTTGAAGCACTTGTTGATAAAGATCAAAGAATAAAGATCAAAGCATTTGTTGATAAAGATTAATATGGATTATGTCTCAATGTAAAGAATACCAAAAATCTTCACAACTAAACCAAAAAATAACTAAACCAAAAAACAACTAAACCAAAAAAATATGATAAATGGAGAAAAGATTGAAGTAATCAAAGACTTCATTTTACTTGGATCCATAATCAATGCTCAGCAGTCAAGAAATCAAACGACATATTGCATATCAAATAAATCTGCTACAAAAAAACTTTAAAATGTTAAAAAGAGAAGATAATCACTCTGAGCGCTAAGGTGTGCCTGAAACAAGCCGTGGTATTTTCAAGGTGTGGCGCTGTGGGTTAATGCGCCAGACTATAAAGTGTTTTTGAACCGCAAGGTTCAAGCTCACTAGCTACTCCTCAGAAGCCCTAGATGGGGTCACTATGGGTTAGAACTGACTCATCGGCATTTAACAATAACAACAACAGCATGTGTGTGAAAGCTGGACAGTGTATAAGGAAGACCATAGAAGAATCAATGCATTTGAATTACTGTGTTAGGGAAGAATATTTACAGTACCATGGATTGCCAGAAGAACAACCAAATGTATCTTGTAAGAAATACAGCCAGAATGTTCCTTAGAGGCGAGGATGGCGAGACTGTTGCACATATTTGGACATGTTCCTACGAGGGACCAGTTCCTGGAAAAGGACATCATGCTTGGTATGAAAAAGAAGACAACCCCCAAGGAGACGGACTGACGCAGTGTCACCAATAATGGGCTCAGACATACAGCAATTGTGTGGATGGCACAGGACATTGTTGTTGTTATGTGCCGACTCATAGCGACCCTGTACAGAGTTTCCAAGGCTGTAAATCTTTCTCCTGTGGAACAGCTGGTAGTTTCGAACTGCTGACCTTGCGGTTCGCAGCCTGATTTGTAACCACGATGCCGTAGTAGTGTTTAATTCTGTTCTGACTCCCATATACCAGAGTCACTGTGAGTCAGAACCAACTTGACAGCACTTAACAACAACACATATAAGAAAAAAATATTCAGAAGTCTTGTGAGCTAAAGCCACAACTTCATATAGCAGAAGACTGAAATCCTTGTTCTAGCACCAAAAGCCACAATGTTCTCCATAGACTGTTGAGAATTCAGAGATCCTTGGTCCTGTCTTACAAAGAAGACAAGTAGAACATGGACTAGGATGGAGGAGGTGGAGCCTGCTGGTGTTCCAACGGACTGAACTAATGGACAAAGGGAGACATTCATCAGTTCAGTAAATGTTTACTGAACAACTGTAATGTGCTACACTTTGTCAGATAGGAGTCAAAGCGAAATCAAGCGTTGTTCCCAGTCTCATGGAATGCAGAGTCAATTATGAGAGACAATAAAAAATCAAAGTAAAATTGTAGTTGTGGTAAGTATTAGAAAATTTGTTATGAGAGTGCATTCAGAGGCCATTTGACCTGAGATTTGATCAAGGACTAATAGCAGTTGAAAAAAGGAGAGAAGAATATTCTAGGCAAAGGAAACTGCATGAAAAATTCTTGTAGGGAGAAGGTGCATAGCAAATCCAAGAGAGTGACATAAAGGCCACGTGGTTGGAGCCTGGTGCAGGGTGAGGCTGAAAATAGGCAGGGTCCACACTGCAGGGTTTTAATGAGCATGTTCATGAGGTTGGTCTCAGAAACCTCCAGAGATTTTTCAGCAGGGAGTGGCACAGTGGATAATTGTGTGTTTTATGCAAAGAGCATAGGAAGTCCTAGTTCATGTGAGTCCTAGTTCTGTTCTTAATAGTATCTTTCTGAACCTGGGTTTCCTCATCTCAGAATTTTGGATTGTTGTTGTTGTTAAGGTGCCATTGAGTCAATACTGACCCATAGTGACCTTATGCACAGCAGAACGGAACACTGCCCGATCCTGGGCCAACCTCACTACTGTTGCCACGCTTGAGTCCACTGATACTGTTAAAGTCACTTAGTATGCACACACAATGCATTCAACTCCTTCCACCCTTCCTTCCAGCTCCGAGCTTCTATGACTCTGTCTGTTTTGTAGGAATTAGGTCCCTCCCATATACCAGACTGCTCTTAAGATAAACTGGACAAGTGTGGGTGGTGGTGGTGGGGCACTTGGGGAGTATTTCTAAAGCGATGTTGTTAATGCTATTCTAGGGAGGGACCAGGGGACTTTAAATATGTTTTAAGAGGTAAAGGGGAAGTGAATGAGGAACAAGGAAAGAAACGAAAGCAATGAAGAAAGATTTGAAAGGGAGGGGATAAGAGGGAAAGATGGTATGTGTCAGGATTTCCGAGACTGTTGAGCAGGCTGGCTGTTTTGGAACCTGGTGCACATCATCCCTAGAGAAGGTTACGGAGGAATTTGCATATTAAAGTGGTTCTTTGAGCCTAAGAGGCCTATAGCTGCAACCATGTTAAGTACGCACTAGCAGTTTGTACCCTTCTTCACAGGCAGTGAGGTTCAGATAAGGGTCCTGCAGTGCGTTTCCCACTTTTAAAAGTTGAGGTTAGGGGAAGTAGCCTGCTTATTTTCTCCCAGTCCCCTTACTGGGCAAAGCTGATTCCAGGCTTGCTCTTGTCAGCTAATTCCAAGTGCTAATGAAGAAAGGGAGTCCTGGTGTGGTGCTGCTTGATAATGTGCTGGTCTGTAAGATCAGTTTGAACTGCAAAGTTAGCAGTTCAAACCCACCAGCTGCTCCTCGAAAACCCTATAAGGGTCAGAACCAACTCAACAGCACTTAACAATGACAATGAAGAAAGGAGGCAGATAGAGCTAGAACCTGCTGATAGCCATGGTCCCTAAGGGAGCCCCTGCCGGGCTGTTGGCCCCCAGATTCTTGCCCCTGACTCCTCCCATCTGCCTCCTTCTCTGGAGCTGCCTCTGGGAAGTCAGTCTAGATCTGCCCTCACCTAGCCTCACTGCCTGACTGTCGGGAGGGTCCTTCTCAGGCTCTTTGGGGCCAGGGAGTCTCAGAGCTAGGCCCAGGAGCTGTGTAAAACACCTCAGACTGTTTCAGTTCTTCCCTCCCTCATAGTCTGACTGAACCTCCCTGCAGTTCTAGCCCTCTGTCCCGGCCTTCCACTCACTTCCCCATCCAACATTCTGCCAAGTACACACATGAGTGCATGTGTGAGAGGCCTCACTCACTCCTCTTTGGCACCCAACTGCTTGACACATGTGTGGCCTCAATTGGAACGAGTACACATCTGAGGCTTGCATTTGCCCAAATCATGCATATTCTTCCCTCTGGCACCCTTTAGGGTAGGTGCAGGAGCTATGGGAAGGCATATGTCTCCTATGTGGGCCTGACAGAGAGGTGCTGGTGCCCAGGACCTGGGTGTGGTTAAGCTTCCAGGAGGTTCTTCAGGAAGCAAACAGAGCAAGCAGGCTGCTAGTTAGTTGCCTTCTGTGGCAAGTGGAGCCCTCCTGCACGTGCTCTACCTTGCTTCCTCTGCTCGGTGAGCAGTTCAGATGGCCTCGGAGCCCCTGGGAGAGCTGTGACGTGTTGCTAAGACAGTTCTCTCACTCATCTCCTCAGGTGTGTGGTCGTGCTGTTCAATCCCCGGAAACACAAACAGCACCACATTCTCAACAGTTCCAGGTAAAGGGGCCTGGGTCCTCAGGGAGCACTCCCTTCTCCTGGGGGCTCTGAGAATGGCACTGGGACCTGCTTGGGAAGCACCACAGGTCCCATTGGTGTGTGCTGGTTTTGCCTTTGGGCGGGGACTTGGAGGAACAGGGCTTAGGCCACACTGCCAGTGTCCCTCCTGAACCTGCCCCCATTTCTTGCAGGAAAACCATCACTGCCCTTGCCTTCTCCCCTGATGGCAAGTACTTGGTCACTGGAGAGGTGAGTGAGGAAGAGAGGCTGCAGTACTGGGAAGAGGGTGGTGGCTTGGCCTCAGCAGACAGCTACAGTCCTAGGCCTGGTTAGGGCTGCCATCACTTAGATTTCCTGAACCAAGTGCCAAAACCTGGTATGTGCTCTGCCTTAAAACTAGTTCTGAAATGTCAGTGTGCATCAGAATCACCTGGGAGGCTTGTTAAAGTGTAGATTGCTGGCAGCGCAATGCTTTCTTATTCAGTAGGCCTGGGATGGGACTCTAAAGATAAGTTTCTAACAAGTTCCTAGGTGATGCCAACACTGTGGTTTGGGAGCCACACTTTGGAAAAAAACAAATATTACTTGAAATATTCCTTATCCTTGGAGGCCCCCTGTTGGTCGCACGAGGAACACTAATTCCTTTCCATCACCTCTTACTGGGATGCTGTGGAGAGCAGAAGTAGACATGAGTGGCTGGTGGTTCTTAATATCACTTCAGGAACTTTGACCAAATACAAATATACTGACTCCACCCAGAGATACTGAGTTAAATCTGGGACTGTTTTCTCCCTGATGGTCCTGGTTCTCAGACATTTATTGTGTTCTTTCTGTACACTTGTCCTGCTGGGGGGGTGGGGGGGCGGAGGAGGGGGCATCCTTAGAGAGATGGTATCCAGTAGCAGGAAGCTGAGGGCCCTGCCGTGAATGGCTAGGGAGTGGGTTCCTCTGGCCCTTACTTCCAGGTCTTCCCTCCCTGCAGAGTGGACACATGCCTGCTGTGCGAGTTTGGGATGTGGCTGAGCGCACTCAGGTGGCAGAGCTGCAGGAGCATAAGTATGGTGTGGCTTGTGTGGCCTTCTCCCCTAGTGCCAAGTACATTGTCTCTGTGGGCTACCAACATGACATGATCGTCAATGTCTGGGCCTGGAAGGTGAGTGGACTGGTCGGATGATCTGGTGACCTTGTGGGGATGAAAGGGCCAGTAGGGAAGCCATGAAGCTGTGGCTTTGAACTCCTTCTCTTTGTCCTGCTGGTCACTCAGTCTCAATCTACAAAATATCTGAATAGAAAGGAGCAACTGTGTAGTCAAGATGTTGGTTGTTGTTATTAAGTACCATCGAGTTGGTTCTGACTCATAGCGACCCTGTATAGGGTTTCTAAGGAGCAGGTGGTGAGTTTGAACCTCTGATCTTGTGGTTCAAACCGACTTTACAGTCCAGCGCATTAACCTGTAGCACCACACCAGGACCCCGAGATGTTGGTAGAAGGGGCTAACTTTATGCCATTAGTGATGTCCAGAGGAAATTAATTTCTTCAGCACCTCTAGAAAGGGATTCTCCTCCCACCCACCTGCCCTTCCTTCTTCTGACCAGTAAATCTTGGAACAAAATGTGTTTTCAAGGACAAATCTTGTCTAACTCTCCTCCCTGTTCAGAGCTTCTTTTCTGTGGACCTCTATAGAGGCAGAGCCTTAATTATTCTCTTGGTTTTCTCCCCAGAAAAACATTGTGGTGGCCTCCAACAAAGTGTCCAGTCGGGTGACAGCAGTATCCTTCTCTGAGGACTGCAGCTACTTTGTCACTGCAGGCAACCGGCACATCAAATTCTGGTACCTTGATGACAGCAAGACCTCAAAGGTGAGGTGCTGAGGTTGCAAGTAGCCACCAGGCCATGGCCTTGCCCAGCCCACCCCAAGGAGACCCTGGTCCACTTGCACCTCTTTCTGCTCACCAGCCACACGGAAGTTTAGGATGAGCCAGATGCTGTCTGGGCTGAAGCATGTCTTAAACACCAAGGCGATAGCTGCTTCCCCTCTCTCCCCAGGGGCAGCCTCCAGGGGTGATAGGTGGCAACAGTGATGTGTTTCCACAGGTGAATGCCACTGTGCCCCTGCTGGGCCGTTCAGGGCTGCTGGGGGAGCTGCGAAACAATCTGTTCACTGATGTAGCCTGCGGCCGGGGCAAGAAGGCGGACAGCACCTTCTGTATCACGTCCTCAGGACTGCTGTGCGAGTTCAGTGATCGGAGGCTTCTAGACAAGTGGGTGGAGCTCAGAGTAAGTGAGTGCTTTGTCATCGCTGTCCCAGTGGATAGTGGAGTACTGATGCCTGTGGTTCCATACCAAGGTCTGGGCCTGCATGCATGGAGGGGGTACCCCATAGGGAAGGAGCTTCGGGGAGCTAGAGCTTGGCCTAGTTCCAACCTGTGCTGATCTCTGTAACTTCTTCCTCTCTGCTCTCTCCTTCTCTGTCTCTTTCCCCTGCTTTCCTCTTCTGCTCAGAACACAGACAGCTTCACAGTAAGTGTGCTAGATCGCTCTTTCTCATGCTGTGTCTTTCTCTTTGCTGGGCTTTTCCTACTTTGTCTTCTTTGCCAAAACCTCTTGTGCACTAAAAGGGTCTCTGACCCCTCCCCACAACAACACTGCACTGTGGGCCTTCTGACCAGCTGCTGCTAAAGGGAGGGGCATCTCTAGAGAACAGCTAAGGGGCTAAAGCTAGAGAAGCTGGCCTGTTCGTGCCTCTTGGTGGGTGACTGTCGATGAGGAGTGGGTAGGAGGCCCTTGCTGACTGCATCCACTCTGCTCACAGACCACGGTGGCCCACTGCATCTCTGTGAGTCAGGACTACATCTTCTGTGGCTGTGCTGATGGCACTGTGCGCCTTTTCAACCCTTCCAACCTGCACTTCCTCAGTACGCTGCCCCGGCCCCACGCCCTGGGGACAGACATTGCCAGCATCACTGAGGCCAGGTGAGCTAGTGGGCCCCCTGCTTCCATTCAGAGCCTTACTGTGTGCCCAGCCTTCCCTCAAGGTGCTTGGAGAACAAGGTGAAGAGTGTGTCGGTGCCCCCCATTCAAAGACCTCTGGTAGCGCCCCTGTGATAAAACATTGGGGGTTATTGGTACTAGCTGCAACAAAGGAGACTACTCACCATGGGAAACTGTGGAGGAATCTCAGTCAGTGGGTGTTAGGAAGGGTTCAGTGTAGCATTTGGTCTTGTGTTGGGTGATTTTAGGAAGAGTTCAAGGAATTGAAGTTTTGCTTTGGATTGGATGCCATTAGGAAATGGGACAGTGGTATGATTAGGTACTTTCCTTTTTATTTAAGGGTGCTGGGTGCTAGGGGCTAAATTTGTGACTGGGAAAGAGGAGCATTCATGTTAGATGGGAAAGGGTGATACCTGGTGGGGTTTGTAGTCTGCACAGTGACCTCGTTCTCATCTGTTCTCTGACATGATTATAGAGTGCTCTTGTGTTTTTGTTTTGCCTTATTCCCACAAAGCAACCCTATCTGAGATTGGTGTTCTATGAAATTGCTTACATTTGTCAGGAGAAAACCATGGTCAGCTAGTGCCAGGTCAGCTCCCAGCTGACAGCTGTCACAAGCTGGTTTTATCTTTCTCAGGCAACTGCTGGAAAACCTGCAGGTCTGGAGCGGTCCCCCATACCCTGCCCCTTCCTTTGTGGGTTTTCTTCTCTTTTTGTTCCCTTCAATCTCTTATTTCACCAGCTCCTCACTCACCAGTTTGCCCTGTTCTCTCCCCACAGTCGCCTCTTCTCTGGATTGGCCAATGCCAGGTATCCAGACACCATTGCCTTGACCTTTGATCCTACTAATCAGTGGCTGTCTTGTGTATACAATGACCACAGCATTTATGTTTGGGATGTGAGGGACCCCAAGAAAGTGGGCAAGGTGTACTCAGCTCTGTATCATTCATCCTGCGTCTGGAGTGTGGAGGTATGTGGACCAGGCTGCCTTGAATCTGAACATGTTTGCTGGGATACCATTATGAGGATGGGGTTGGGATTCCCAAGTGTAGTTTTATGTTCCTGCTGCCTCCCTGTTCCTCCAGCAAATATCCTTGTGTGTCTGCATATCCTTGGATGGGTTCTGAGAACTGAGCTTGAATTTTAGTGCTTAAACATCTCAGATAGCGTCCAATGTGACCCTGACCAGCCTTATATTTGCCTCATCTTGGGTTGAGTGATTTTGGTCAAGCTTTAGTTTCTGCAACTGTAAAAGGATATATCTGATTCATCTGATTGTTCCAAGAATTAAATGAGATAATGTGAGTGGGAGACATAGAAGAGTGACCAGTACATAGTAGGTGCTTGGTTAATGTACTTTCATTTACTCAGTGACAATATTTAATGGGTGTGACTTGCTTACTGTGTGACAGGCACTGGGCTAAATCTTGACTGATATTCGCTCTTTAATCTCATCCCCTCCCATCTTCTTGGGCAAGCAAGAGACTGCTCCTTAACTGGAGGCCTGACTCTGTTCCCTCTGCCCCTTTAGGTCTACCCTGAGGTGAAGGACAGTAACCAGGCCTGCCTGCCCCCCAGTTCCTTTATCACGTGCTCTTCTGACAACACCATCCGTCTGTGGAACACAGAGAGCTTTGGGATACATGGCTCCACCCTGCACCGAAACATCCTCAGCAATGTGAGCTCTGAGGCCTTCGTGCCCCCACACGACACCTAGCACCCCCAGTCCTACAAGCCTTCACTCCTGATTCTCTGGAACTGGGACTTATTTGGCCATACTCTTTGACAAGGGCACACTCTTGCCTAGCATTCCTCTCCTCTGGTAGCTTATCCACGTCTTTTCCTGTCCTGTCCCTCTAGGACCTCATTAAGATCATCTATGTGGATGGAAACACTCAGGCCCTGCTGGACACCGAGCTGCTTGGAGGAGACAAAGCTGATGGGTCCCTGATGGATCCCCGTGTGGGCATCCGCTCTGTGTGTATCAGTCCCAATGGACAGCATCTAGCTTCAGGGGACCGGATGGGCACACTTAGGTAACACCCCTCCTAGAGTGGGTACCCACTGCATCCCATGGTGCAGGCTTGGAGACTTAGGTCCCCAAGGACAGAAGTTTAGCAGGATTTGGCTGTAAAAGGTTGGAAACAAGATGTTTACTATCTACAAAGGGAAAGATCATAATTTGGCAATGAAGAAACCAGGCAAAAAGCCACCTTAGTCATTGAGGTTAGCATCCCAATATCAGTATCAGAAACCGGTGACACGATATACTGAGGACATAGCATTGTTCTGTGATTCTTGCCCCAAATGCATAAAGTCAGCCCAATCATGAAGAAGCATATGGCAAACTCAAATTGAGGTATAGATTATAAAGTAACTCAGCAGTACTCTTCAAAATGTCAGGATCATGAAAGACCTAAATGTGAATCCCAGAATTATGAAGGCCATCAATGAAAAAATAGGGACAAATGTAAGGGCACTAATTCTGGGAATACACAGACTTGAAAACTACACAAACAAAAGTAGACAAAATAGATGAGTGGGATATACTAAAAATGAAAAACTTATGTGCATCAAAAGACTTCACCAGAAGAGTAAAAAGGGACCCCACAGAATGGGAAAAAATCTTTTGCAATGACACATCAGACAAGGGACTCATTTCTAAAATATATAGGAAACTACAACACCTCTACAAGGAAAAGACAAATAACCCTATTAAAAAGTGGGCACAGGATGTGAACAGACACTTCACCAAGGAAGAGATCTGGGCAGCTGTTGGGGACCTACCTTGACAGGGAAGTTTGGTTCACGAAGTAGGGAGATCTGGCGGTGAAAGAAATACAGAAAAAATATACACAAAGACGCATCGAGAGAAAAAAAGAGACACTCCGAGACCAGAGTGGATGCAAAACTGGCAGGCAGACCCTGCATTGCAGGCAGCATTGCACTGCAGGCAGTATTGCATGCAGCATTCAATCTGCATTCGTCTTTTATTTTTTCAGGGAGGGATTTTACACAAAGGAAGAAGGTGATTATTCAGATAAGACAGGATACAGAAATGAAATGTGATTAATCGTTCAAAACAGGACATAATGATTTACAGGAACAAATTCTGAAATATACATCACAGATTGTCTTAATAATCTAACATTCTTAATTTTCCAAAAATCCAAGCAAACTGTTATAAATTACTTTTCAGGCTTAAATCACCTAAGGCAGCGATGTGAGGTTTCTCAAGGCTAATTAACATACCTATAGCACTTAATCCCTAATGGGTAAAGGTGAAAAGGATTTAAAAGGTTTGAAGGGAGTCAAACTGTTTCAGCTATCTGGCTTAAGCTTTCAGAAGGAAGGAGAACATCTAGGTTAATCGGTTTACACCTGGGGACAGTTTGAGGGGGATGCCACTATTATTCCTTAAACAATACTCCCTGAATTTACCAATCTACCTTGAGTGAATACCCTGGGCAGTTTCTCTCTTGAGCCTCCCTGCGTAATCCCAGCAAACCTGCCCTTTGGAACTTTTACTGCCTCAGCTTTAGAAGGGGTTTTGGTTTTAATATTATACATGGATATAAGTTAATATCAAACATAACTGAATAACTTGATAAAGAACAGTTTTGACATGCTTGCCAGGTGGCCAGAGCTTGTTCCTCAGAGAGATTTGTTCCCAGGACCTTACGCACTGCCAACACAGTGGAGACATTAAGAGAGGCACATAAGAAACCATTTTCTCAGAAGCTACAATTACTGGAGTAAGAAGCATAGAATGAATAATAAGACCAACGAAAATTTTACAGAGGTAGCCCACCAGTGAGTTCGCAAAAACCAAGGAACCTGAGACGTTAGGAGGTCACTTCCTTTGGCCCTCAGGGTCCCTGGCCCGCAATCTGAGGAGGGCCTTCGTGTTGGATTTTCATCCATGACACAGGGCCTCAGCATCTCAATGCTTGTGGTCACTAACAGGCAGCCAACAAACACATGAAGAAATGTTCATGATCACTAGCCATTAGAGAGATGCAAATCAAAACAACAATGAGATATCATCTCACACCAACAATAACAGCAGAGATAAAAAATGTAGAGGATAATAAATGCTGGCGGGGATGTGGCGAGACTGGGACACTCCTGCATTGCTGGTGGGACTGCAAAATGGTCCAACCTCTCTGGAAAGCAATATGGCGCTTCTTCAGAAGGTTGAAAATAGAAATACCTTATGATCCAGCAATTCCTCTACTTGGTATTTACCCACAAGAAAAACGAGCCACAAAATGTCAGGGTCATGAAAGATAAGAAAAGACTAAAGGGTGTTACAAACTATGAAGAAAATAACTAAATGCAGTGGGGGTCTTGATAGGATCCTGGAGCAGAAGAGAACAGTAGTGGAAAAATTGATAAAATTTGAATAGGGTCTTTCATTTAATGAAGGGTATTATAGCAGTGTTAGCCTCTTGATTCTTGTCATCGTGTACTGTGGTCATGTAAAATGTTAACATTAAGTGAAACTAGGTGAGAGAAATAGGAAAACCATACTCATTTTGCAACTTTTTTTCTAAGTCTAAAAGTTCAAAATAAGAAGTTAAAAGAAATATGTTGGTGGGGAAAGAAAGGAGGAGGGGAGTCTCTTCTGTCACCTGGCAGTGATCTCTTCCCTTGTCTCTTATTTTTGCAGGGTGCATGAACTGCAGTCCCTGAGTGAGATGCTGAAGGTGGAGGCCCATGAATCAGAGATTTTGTGCCTGGAGTATTCAAAGCCAGACACAGGTGCTTGGTCCAGAATGGCACAGAGCTCCTTCAATCCTGCCTGTGTCAGTGATATTTAGCTTGATTTTTGAGTGTGGGACTGATAATCCTTTTGGTTGTCACAAGAATTGGTCATCTTTTTGATCTGATCATTTGGTATCTTTGGGAGAGGACTGAATCTCAGCTCTGTCCCTGTTTCATGGCCCATTTGGCTTAAGAATATGGGGCTTTTTGTAGGGTCCTACTCTGAGCACTCATGGGCTGATGGAGTTCTTCCAAACCCAGGTCTGAAGCTACTTGCATCAGCAAGCCGGGACCGACTGATCCACGTGCTGGACGCTGGGAGGGAGTACAGCCTGCAGCAGACGCTAGACGAGCACTCATCCTCCATCACTGCTGTCAAGTTTGCAGGTGCAGGCAGGGTGATTGAGACACATTTTGCCACCTAACAGTGATGCTGTGGGATTAGCACTGGACTGTGAACCACAAGGTTGGCGGTTTGAGTTCACCAGCCACTCATCAGGAGAAAGATGAGGCTTTCTGCTCCCACAAAGATTTACAGCCTTGGAAACCCTATACAGGGTTGCTGTGAGTTGGAACCAACTCGATGGCACTTAGTAACAACCCATTCCCCGCACCCCTCACCCCGCCCCCACCATCTTGGGCCACCTGCCTCCCATCTCCATGAGACAGGAGTGTTAGAAGCTGGGAGGGCTGAGCTGGATGGAGAAGACAGGTAGATAGACTCTCATCCCTCATCCCAGGGGATGTGAGCCAGCCAGGTTGGGCTGAAGATGGGAGAAAGAAAAACCTCAGTTTAGACAGAAGCATCTTGATTTCAGTGGTTGTCCTGGCTATGTTGAGAAAAAGTGTGTGTGATATGGGAATGCGGTGGGAAGGGGCAGGGCAGGAGGATAGGCAAAGGAAAGGCTGGCCCCTCTGGGTGAGACAGTGGGAACAGCTGGGCTCCCTTCCTTCATAGCCAGCGATGGACAAGTCCGCATGATCAGCTGTGGAGCAGACAAGAGCATCTACTTCCGCACTGCACAGAAGGTCAGGACACTGGGCATCCTTGGATGGAGTGGGAGGGGACAGCAGGGCTCTCTTAGCTTACTGAAGCATCTGAGCATGAAGTCTGCTCACATGCTCCACTTCTAGTCTGGAGATGGAGTCCAGTTTACACGAACACACCACGTGGTACGGAAGACAACCCTGTATGACATGGATGTGGAACCCAGCTGGAAGTACACAGCCATCGGCTGCCAGGACCGAAATATTCGGTGAGCATTTACTTTTCATTCCCTAATGTCCTAGGTAGTCAGCTCTAGGCATCTGAGTACCCAGTCTTTTTCCTCTAGGGCTTTGTATCACTTTGAGACTACAGATTGAGCATTTTGCCTCACCCAGGAGATGGTGGCCCCTTTGGTGTTAGTGGCTTGCTCCCTAAGGGAATGGGGCTGGGAGTGAATGCTGGATTGCTGCCACCTGGGTGTGCTTGATCTAAGAATGGGCTGCTTTACAGGATCTTTAACATCAGCAGTGGGAAACAGAAGAAGCTGTATAAAGGGTCACAGGGGGAGGACGGCACCCTCATCAAGGTAAGGGCTCAGTAAAAATGAGCATTAAGTCAGGGGACTAGGGGAGAGAGGAGTGCTTGATCAGAAGCTCTGTGTATTCTCACCTCAGGTGCAGACAGACCCCTCAGGGATCTACATTGCCACCAGCTGTTCTGACAAGAACCTCTCCATTTTTGACTTCTCCTCTGGCGAGTGCGTGGCCACCATGTTTGGCCACTCAGGTGAGTGTAGCCCCAGCAGTCTACCTCTAGAACGTCACCCTTTCTTGGGACCCAGTAGGGCTTCTTGTTCCCTCCTCCACCCCACTCCTACCTTCACAGAACCTTTCAGCAGACCTTGGTTAGGAATTCAGAGTGACTCATTGGCCTTATCCTTTGTTCTTTACAGAGATTGTCACTGGCATGAAATTTAGTAACGATTGTAAACATCTCATCTCTGTGTCTGGGGACAGGTGAGCAGAAGAAGCCAGCTTCCCTGGGAGACAGATTCTTCCTCTGCCACAGACACACCCTGCCCTTGCCTCCCTTCATCTCAGGGGCTTTCTGTCCATGATGGCTCTGAGAAGCGGGACCGAATTGGCACATTTCTGGACTGGATCTGACTTAGCAGTAGAGGGTGGCTCATACCCCTTGCCAGCCCAGGGAGAAGGGGAACTGATGGCATTGCCACCTCTAGAGGGCCACTCTCCTCTCGTTGACCCAACTCTGTGGTTCTACCCTAGCTGCATATTTGTATGGCGCCTGAGTTCGGAGATGACCATCAACATGAGACAGCGTCTGGCTGAGCTACGCCAGCGTCAGCGAGGGGTCAAGCAGCAAGTACCATCCTCTCCCCAAAAGACTTCTGGACCCAACAGGTAATAACAGAATATGGGCAAATGGTGGGTGAGGGTCCAGTTGCTTGCTGTGATCTCACTCTCCTCTTGACTTGCTATGTAATGACTGTTTATCACATGAAGAGGCCTCTTCCCTCTGTGAGCCTCCTTTCACCATGACCTTCCTTGTCTTGGACTCAGGCACAAAACCCCATCAATGCTCTCTAGTGGACCAGCTCTCTCATCAGACAGTGACAAGGAGGGAGAAGAGGAGGGGACAGAAGAAGAAGAACTTCCAGCTCTGCCTGTCCTTGTCAAGAGTATCAAGAAAGAGCCAGGTCTGTGTTACTGTGGTCTGAGGCCAGGTGGCCACCAGTTGGTAACAGTAGCTGGATACACCTTTTGGGGATTGTGGGGGTATGAGCAGGGGAGCTGAGAAACAAGAATAGTTGTGCCTATCTCTGTAGGGTGTGGGCTGATGTGGGCATCAAGGCTCTGGAGATGGGTGGGCAGGAGACACACCTGCTGACTGCCTGTTTTTATCCAGCTTCAGTCCCCAGTTCAGCCCTGCCTCGAAGCCTGTCCCATTGGGAGATGAGTCGGGTGAGTCACCAATGTAAAGGCCAAGGAAGGGTCTTTCTTGTGAGGGAAGTTAAAGCAACTTTAACTGATCCCATTTAGGGGTGAGAGAAACTCAGGTATTCTTTTTTTTTTTTATGGTTTGTCTATGCATTTTCTTTTTTTTTTAATGTTTTATTGTGAATTATTCGATAGTTTACATGGGAGAACATTAGTTTTACATTCATTCTATCGGATATTGTTTCATTGCCATGGTTCCAATCCCCTCCATGAATCATCAACCAACCAAAGGGTATACCCTGCAAGCCTGCCCCCTACACTCCTCCCCACAGTCCTCAGCACACAGCCCCTCTCCCTCTCTGGATCTCAAGTCCCCAGCTGCTCCATCTATCCACGTCATTGTCTCTGCCTGCATCTCAGGCATCACTGCTTCTCTGGGTAGGGTCTCGCTCTTGGCTAGGTATTTACTTCTTGAGGGCTAGATGTGGAGGGCTGTGAGGGTCATCTCACTTGGGAAAGTGCACCACTTGTTCATCGTTTAGGGGGCGCCAAAGAACTTGTTGAGGTAGGAATTAGAGATGGGATGTCTGAGCCAAACAGAACTGAGTTCAGGAAAGCCAAGCACAAGCACCTTCTATAGTCAACAGTTTTAGGGGCAGTGGTGAGATGTCTCGGTGTACTCTGACTAGGTCAGGGCTCTCAAGTCTAGGCTGTTAGTTCAGCCTTGGTGCTGTAAAAGGACTGTGGGACATTGTTGCGGCTGTCCTCAGTGTAGGGGTGTCCACAACACCAGGTAAAGATTAGGACTAGAAATTCTTCTTAGAGAGGCTGTTGTTATTAAGTACCATCAAGTCGGTTGCAGCTCATAACGACCTTGACAAGGGTTTTCAAGGAGCATCTGGTAGATCTGAACCATCAACCTTGCAATTCACAGTCCAGTGCTGATCCTTACACATGTGAAACACGTGGACTCTGAAGCCAGACTTTCTGGGTTGTAATCTGAGGGCCATCTACTGTCTGTGGGATGGACAAAGTTACTTAAGCTCTCTGTGCTTCAGTCTCCACCTCTGTAAAAATATGGATAAAAGATTGTTGTGAGGATTAAGTAAGCTAATGTACATAAAGGGCTTAGCATTATGCCCACTAGATAGTATGAGTGATTGCTAGTATTATTATATGATTATTATTGTTATTCTTTTCCCACACCCCCTGGCCTACATCAGGCACAGGAGACAGAGTTCCTGGGTCCAGCTCCTACATCCAGCCAAGGATCCAGAAGAAGGGGGCGCTGGGCTCAGCCAGGCGTGGAACTGAGTGTTCGCTCCATGCTGGATCTGCGGCAACTAGAGACAATAGCTCCAAGCCCTAAGAATCCCCGACAGGGCTCAATGGGCATGGCCCTATCTAGTCCTGGAAAGTATGGTCAACAAGCCTCTTCGGCCTCACGTGCTAAACAGGTGAGTGAACATTCTCCTAGAGCTCTCCAAGTCCTAGCCAGTTTTGTGCCAACAGCTGAGGCCTGAGTCTCATCCTGCTATACTTGTTCAGGCCTTGTGGCACACTTGTAACCTGAGCTGCAGAATTAGGGTGGGACTGGCTAGGGTGTATGATGATTGGGTGGGCAGGGAAGGGTGCTAGTCTAGAGAGGGAAAGGCTGTCTTTGCTCAGGGCTAGGTTACCTCGAGTGTAAATGGTGGCTAGAGGTTTGCAGCCCAGGGTAACCTATGTAATTCTTCCAGAAGTTTAAGAATACCAGCTGGAAAGCAGTCAGCTTCTTGGTGTTTGTCCTCAGAGTTGGAGCATTCAGTATTTAACTTCCCTCCAGAATTGGTGTATATCAAATCCTTGCCCACCTCTACCTCTTCTTCAAAGTCCCTCTTCTCATGTCAGCAACTCCAGTAATGCCCCTTTGTGTATTCCCAGAATGGAAAGACCCCTTGGCCTCAGGTTTCCCAACCCTGTTCCTGCCCCCACGTTATCCGATTGTTGTCCCAAGAGGAAGGGGTCTTTGCCCAAGATCTGGAGTCTGCTCCCATCGAAGATGGTATTGTCTACCCAGAGCCAAGTGACAGCCCCACCCTGGATACCAGGCAAGGGTCCTGCCCTGGCCGACCTCATGAGGCCATGCAGCCCCCAGTCTGTCCTTCCTTCTGAGTGTTTCTTACTCTTTAGTCCTCATTCCCCAGGCTGTGCAGGGAGGGTTGGGCACCAGGGTACTCTGGGCTTGCCTATCACCTCATCATGCCTCATTCCTAATCCCAATCATAGAGGAGAAGGAAGGCAACAGGCCAAAGGGCTACTGCTCACCTCTGCTAACTATATTTCCTCTCCCATGCTGCCTGGCCTTGCTAACAGAGAGTTCCAGGTGCAGGCCCCAGTCCGAGGGACCCTGGGACGAGTGTACCCAGGCAACGGAGGCTCAGAGAAACATAGCCCTGACAGTGCCTGCTCTGTGGATTACAGTGGCAGCCGCCTTTCCAGCCCTGAGCACCCCAATGAAGGTGAGGCCAAGCCCAGGGGGGAGGCTCTGGTGACATGGGTGCAGTACAGCGTGATGTCTGTCTCCCCCTCCCCCACATCCAGACTCTGAGAGCACGGAGCCCCTGAGTGTGGATGGAATCTCCTCAGACCTTGAAGAACCAGCTGAGGTTGATGAGGAAGAGGAGGAGGAAGAGGGAGACACTGGCCCATATGGGCTACAGGAAGGCAGCCCCCATACCCCGGACCAGGAGCAGTTTCTAAAACAGCACTTTGAGACTTTAGCCAATGGGGCGGCTCCAGGTGTGGTTAAGGGCCCAGCATTTGGCCACTGAAATCTTCCTTTCTTCTCTCCTTGTGTAGCTCATTGGGAGGGTCCAAGGGCACGGCCTAGCCCTGGGGTTTCCTTCTAGGGGAGGTAGAATTTGGGGTGAAGGCTTAGCCTCTCTCTCAATTCATGATTTCTGTCATCCTGGTAGGTGGCCCAATCCGGGTACCAGAGAGGGCAGAGTCTCGGAGCATCTCTTCACGATTCCTGCTGCAAGTGCAAACCCCACCACTCAGGTATGAAGACTTCTCCCACAGCTGCTCTGATTCTCCTGTCCGCCTAGTGCTCCCAGTAGGGCTAGCCTCCCTCCTTCCAGGGCTCCTGTCTTCCCATGCCCAATAGGATTTTACACTCCTAATTTTGAGATAACTCGCTTGGCTTTGTGTCCTTCTCTCCTAGCGCCTCTATGGTGGCATGAAAGCTTCTTGTTATCTTGGCACCATGAGGCACTGAGCCTTGTCTGGGCTGCCTTCCATATTTCACCCTGCAGGGAACCATTCCCAACCTCCGCAAGCCCAGCCCTGAAGCTGAGACCAGCCCAGGTACCACAGGCATCTTGTGAGCAGCTGAGAGGCAATGGTGCCAGCCCCCCAGGTGCTCCCCCAGAGGCAGAGCCTTCCTCTGGCAATGCTGGCCTTCAGCAGACAACCCCTGTGCTGTTGCCACGACGCCGTCTGAACCCAGACAACACCTGGACTCCTAAGAGAGCAGCCTCAGCTGGCCCCTTAGGTGGACTCCAGAAAGCCCAGTCTGTGCACAGCCTGGTGCCACAGGGTGAGGAGCCTGGTGGACTCAGCTCCAGGGGGAGGGGGCTGTGGACTACACAAACGTGCAGAAAGGAGGGAAGGTGTAGTGTGGCCCTGAGGTGTTACTGTGCTTATCCTGCCTGTCCCTCGGTGCGCATGTGCAGAGGAACAGCAGCTCCCAGGCACTGCCAGGCCTTCCTCCCCACCTGACCACAGGTGTCTTCATCTCCTCTACAGATGAGGGCCGTCCACCAGGCCCATTACTCTCACGGACGATGGAGGCACAAGAAGGCCTGACCCAGGCTGATGGCCATCCATCTCGGCCCCACTCATACCAAAACCCCACCAGTTCCAAGACCAAGATATCCCGCAGCGTCTCTGTTGGGGAGAACTTGGGCCTGACAGCTGAACCTCAAGCTCCAGCTCCCATCCGAGTCTCACCACTCAGCAAGCTGGCTCTGCCCAGCAGAGCTCACCTGGTCCTAGACATCCCCAAACCACTGCCTGATCGTCCTACCCTGGCCACATTCTCACCTGTAACCAAGGGCTGGGCCCCTGGTGAAACAGAGCAGCCTGGCTCCCCAGCAGGCCTGGGAAAGGCCCACAGCACACCTGAGAGGAGGGCGTATTTGGGAGAGGGTACTATTCCCAGGCCTAGGACTGAGTGCCCAGCTCAGCCTGAGCCTAGCAGTCTCCTCCAAGGCCCTGAGAACTTGCAGGCCCCATCCCCTGAGAAGACTCCCAGCCCCATGGAATGTACCAGGCCAGGGGCAACCCTGAGCCAGGACTCAGGTGTGCATGACTTCCTAGACTTCCTAGCTCTCATCTTTCGCCCCATCCTCTCTCTCCCGTCTCTGTTGGCCGCTTTCTGGCTCCATTCCATTTCTGTGTGTCCAGCTTCTGGCGTGTTTCGTCCTGTCTGCTCCTGTCTTGGTCCATAAGTCACACCCCTGATGGTGAGACTCTCCTGCTAACCTCCATGATCTCCCTGTGACCCTGGGGCTAGGGCTGGTCCTGTGCTTTGAACCTTCTTTTGTTTGGTGCTGGGGCTGGTGTTGGGAGGTAAGGAGGAGGCAGGAGGAAGGGACTGAGAGCAAGTAGAGAGGGTACAATGCTTGGGGTAGACCTCTTCTGCTCAGAGTGACCCCTGGGTAGGAAGGCCTGAAAGGGCAGTTTGTTTGGCTTACTGAGCTCTATCTGTCCCTCCCAGAACAAGCAGTGAGCCTGGAGCAGTGTGAACAACTTGTAGCAGAGCTCCAGGGTAACTTGCGCCGGGCTACTCAGCTCTACCGTTTGGTAAGTGTGGGAAGACAGAGTATGTCAGCAGCTTAAGTGTCCATAGTAGCTAAGATTCCAGGGCAATAAAGTTCTTCCTCAGGCCTTGGGGCAATCCAGAACATCCTGGGCAGAGTAGGCGGATAGGTTAGACGCCAGGAAGGGCTCTTGAATCTAGCCCTTATTGGCCATTTCTGACTGAAAGCTGGAGACTTGCCTCATTTAGCAAGGTGCAACAGAGATTGCATGCCCTCCTTTGCTCGGGACAATCTCAGTTTCTGCCTGTTATTATAGTATAATTATTGATAGCATCCCTTTTCATTTTCAAAATTCATCTGATCACCCTGGACATAGGGGCAATCTATAGAGAGCCCACCGCCTTGGAAGGAAAGTGGAGTTGGCCTGTGGTGGTGTACAGAGTTGCTGATTTGATGTAGATGGGGCTGTCAGCTGATGGTATCCTCCTTTGGGCTAACCCGAGATTCAGACTCCAACCCATGGGTGTTTTTGGGTCAGCGGTGGTTATGGTCTTACTTGCTGAATTTGGGGGCTGCTAGGCCCAGGGGTGGGGAGCTCCCTTTTATGTGTCTCTTGATAGTTTCCTCCATGGTTTCTCCAACTTACCTCAGGGGCTCTTCTTGCAGGTGGCCAGCTATAAGACACCCACAGCAGAGCAGAGTCGCATCACTCAGCTCCTTAAAGACACCTTCTCCTCAGTGCGGCAGGAGCTCGAGGGCCTGGCTGGGACTTTGCTGTGTAGCCCTGGTGGAAGCCCTGGGGCTGTGGGAGCTGAGCAGACACAGGCCCTCCTAGAGCAATACTCAGAGCTGCTACTTCGAGCTGTGCAGCAGCGCATGGAACGCAGACTCTGAGTTCCAGAAGCTTCTCCCAAGTGAACGCGCCCCTCATTCCAAACTGTAGCCCCTTCTCCACTCACCAAAACTTGTGGGATGCTTGGAGTGGATAGGGATCAGTGCTAAGAGGGAAAGCAGCATTCCCAGCTGCCCCTCATGGGGCCCTTGTATTTATTAATTTATTTCCCTGACTGTTGCCTCACTTCCTTGGAACTCCTGCCTCCTCAGCGGCTCATCTTGTCATCTTGGTGCTGTGAGGGCTAGGAGGGCAGCCTTGCCCATCTGGGGAAACTGGGAAAGGCTGGCCCTCTCTTCTTAGAAGCCATTTGAAATCACTGCAGGGATCCACTCCCTGGGGTGGAGCATATACAGGGTATTCTGTGGAGTAGAGGTGAGAGAATTTGCCCTTCAGCTAACAGAGGGAGTTTCACCTCTACCTCCACTTCCCCTCCCAAACTAGCTGCACTCTCCTGGCTGCCAGAGCAGGGATTGTGTTTTCCCCTATTCAAAGTTTAGAAAGGCAGAGCCCTCTGGACCTCCAGGGCATTCCTTGCCATTTGGAGTCTCCAGTTGGTTTCAGGGCCTGAGCTCCCACATTCCAGTTCCCCTAACAAGGGGACCTAGCATTGTCTATCTCTGTGCCCTCCCTCCTAAGCCAGACCTTGTCGAACCAGCTGTGGGACATAGCTGCAGGACAGTAAGCCCTCTGCTGGACAAAGGAAACCCTGGCCTCCTTTCCTTAGGTCCTTGACCTCCCCTGTTCTCCAACCCTGGTCCCAATCAGGCTGCTGGAGGCCAGAGGCCACCTGCTCCCTGCATGGTGAGAGATGCTCAGTCAGAAGCCTGTATGGGAAATTCCCTTAATGGTTTACAGGGCGCCAGCCCACCTTCTAAGGACCTTAGCTGCAAGATGAAACTCACGCACTCTCTCAAACACACACACACACTAGTGACACACACACTTTAGTGTTCTTGCTAGAGTACTTGACTGGCTGCTGTATGCCAATTTTCCTCTCACATTCTGTCACAGTGTCACCACCCTGGCTTATTCAGAATTCATAATGAGCACAAAAGGGATGGGACACACTAATCCCAAATTCACACATTAATCCTAAATTCTGGATTCTTGGTGCTCCCAGTCTAGCGAATAAGAATGGCCCATGGGGGCCCTGGTTAGGATCGAAGGAGCCTCCCCTAAAGACAGTGTTAGCTCCCAGGGTGCTCCAAATGCTTAAGGTCGAGGGGCGAGGGAGGTACACAGGATTGTGTCAGGAGCCAAGAGACACACTGGAAAGGTGGTAGGTGGGACAGGTAAGTAGCGGAGGTGAGAGGGTAGATTAGTAAAAGAGACAGTTGTTAGTAAGGTTAAGGGGATGGACATGGAACACAGTAGGCTGGTAGAATGGGACCATATTAATAGTGCAGCGTTTGTTAGCGTTGGGTTGAAGAATGTGTGTGTCTGGCCCCTGTTTTCCCTCTGCCCTAGGTAAATCAGGAGAGCTTTTACCACAGCTATCGGCCACAAAACCGCATTCACCAGGTTGATAAACATTTGGGCCCAACTGGCTGTAAATTACTGTGGCGAGGTTTCATACTCACAGCGACCCTGTATGGGGTTTCCAAGGAGCAGCTGTGTAAGCAGAAGGAAATTGGATTCTGAAGGAGACCCACCTCTGTTGTATCAGCTTGAATGAATTTAAATAGATCAAAGCCTATTTCTTGCCCCCCTCTCCCCATACTTTTTGCTATCACCACCTGCATAGTCAAACTGCAAGGAAACCATAAAACCGGGTGGACCCTGGCAAGGGCTGCAGCTGCCCTCGTGAGGGATGATAATCCCCTCCAGCTGTACCATCCAACCAACTCCTCACACCAGCCACACCCTGCTCAAATAAGGTTCAGGCCTAGTCTCCTAGGCCGGGCTTCCCGAGTCTCAGCGGACCTGCCCCTCACAAGGAGGGAACTATACTCATACTAAGGTTTTTCCGGAAGGCGGGTGCCTTTCCCCTACCCCCTGATCAGTGTCAGGCCGGCGCTCAGTCCTCCTCTGCATGTCTGAGGCCACCGGCAACTGCCGTCCCAGCCGTTTTAAAAGGCCCTTATTTATAACTTTTATACTTCGTCCAGGCCATGGCGCTTCCCTTCTCCCCGGGCTCGTATGGGGATGGGGCTATTTTTAACGTGTCCATTTGTATTGATGTATGAGCTCATCAATAAATAATCATTTATTAACTTTGGAACGCAATGAGTAGGGGAGACGGAGGTGCTGTTTCACCTTCGACCAAAAACCGCGCGTATGGGGAGGGGCGGGGCCCCGGGGAGAGGCGGGGCCGCAAGCGGCCTCTAGGGCGCAGCGGCGGCGGCGGAGTCATGGCGGAGGCGGCTTTGGAAGCCTTGAGGAAGGAGTTACAAGAATTCCCGGCCGCGGCAAGGGGTGAGTCGGCTCTCAAGGAGGCCTCGGCGTTGTCCGTGGAGCAACCTCAGGACGTGGGCGGCCCCTTGGGCTTGCAGACAACCAAGTCCTGAAGTCGGGCGCGCTCCAGTCGGTCCTGTTCCTCAGACCCCAGCGCGCACCCGCCTGCCCAGGTCTTGGTCTCCTGAACAACTTCCGCCCGCACGTGACTGCTGGTGGCCCCACCCCCTCGGCTTCTGGCGGCCTCTCTGCTCTCGGTTCCCCTTGTCCTGGACACACCCTTGAGCTTTCCAGGGGGCTTTCTCTGTGTGGTAAAAATAGAGATCACGAAACATTTTTCTATTTTAACATTTCATATATTTTATATATTTTAACATTTCATATATTTTAACATTTAACAGTTCATTGACGTTAATTACGTTCAGCATGTTCTGCAACCATCCCCACTCTCCGTTTCCAATATTTTCTACCATCCTTTATAGAAACTATTCTGAGGGTATTGCATTTCTAGTAATTCACAAGGCTTGGTCCAGTTTTGACCCTGGTGCTGTCCTCTTCCCACTATAGCAACGCACTGAATAAAATCTGGGCAGTTTGTTCCCTTCTTGACCTTTCCTATTGTGAAGTCCTATATTTTAACATTTATTTAAATTTTATTCTGGGGAAAGATAAAAATGCAATGTGAACCATTTTTAAGTGTATAATTCAGTGACCTTAATTATATTCACCATTTTCTGCTGTCATCACCATTTTCATATTTTACATTAATCCCAAACTGAAACTTAGTACCCCTTTGGAATAACTGATTCCTTTCCTCCCCTCATCTCTTAACCACTAATTGTAGATAGTTCATATCAGTGAGATCTTAGAATATTTGTCTTCTGTGTCTGACTTCACTCAGCATTTTTCAGGGTTCATCCATTTGGCAGCATGTATGAGAATACCCTTTTTTTTTTATGGTTGAATATAGTGTATGAATACCACATTTTGTTTCTTCATTCATCTGTTGATGGTTACTTGGGTTTCCATGATTTGAATATTTGTAGTGAACATGGATTATAGGTAGTCTCTCTTTGAGTTCCTACTTGCAAATCTTTTGGGTGTACTATATACTTAAGAGTGGAATTGCTGGGTAATTTGGCAATTCTGTTTAACCTTTAGAGGAACTGCCGGACTCTTTTCCACAGAGACTGTACCATTTTACATTCCCACCAGCACTGTGCAAGACTTCCAAGTTCTCTACATCCTCACCAACATTTTTTGATAATTCCCATCCTAGTGGATGTGATGTAGTGCATTAGGTAAATTTGCTGCAGTAGACCTTTTAAAGTGTTAAAGAGTAAAATGTCAGTTTGAGGACTAAGGTGTGCCTGGTCCAAGTCGTAGTACTTTCAATGGCCTTATATGCATATGAAAGTTGGACAATGAATAAGGAAAGCAATAGAAGAAGCAATGCATTTGGGTCATGGTGTTGGCAAAGAAGATGGACTACCAGAAAAAGAAACAAATATGTCTTGGAAGAATACAACCAGAATGCTCTGTATAAGCAAGGATGCTGAGACTTTGTCATTCTTTGGGCATGTTGTCTGGAGGAATCAGACCCTGGAGAACGACATTGCGAAAAAGAATAAGACCCTCAAGGAGATGGATTGGCACAGTGGCAGCAACAATGAGCTCAATCATACAGTTGTGAGGCTAGCCCAGGACCGGGCAGTGTTTTGTTCTGTTGTGCATGGGTTGCTATGAGGGAGCAACTTGACAGCCCCTAGCAACAAGTGGATGTGATGGGCTATCTTATTGTAGTTTGGATTTGTGTTTCCCTAATAACTAATGATGGATCAGCACTGAACTTCAAACCACAAGGCAGTTCAAATCCACCAGCTGCTCCTTTACAGGGTCACTATATATCTTATATGGAAAAATGTCTATTCAAGTCTTTTGACCATTTAAAATTTTTTTTTTTGTCTTTTTGTTGTTGAGTTGTAGGAATTCTTAATATATTAGGGATGTGTTAAACCCTTATAAGCTATATGGCTCCCAAATATTTTCTGCCCATTCTGTAGGTGGTCTCATCCTTTCATTGATAAAGTCTCTCAGTGTGCAAAACTTTTTCATTTTGATGAAATCCAATTTTATTTTTTTGTTGTTGCTTTTGGTGTCGTAGCTAAGAATTCATTATTGAAAACAAGAGCTTGAAGCTTTACTGCTATATTTCCTTCTAAGTTTGTAGTTCTTACATTTAGGTCATTGGTCCAATATGAAGTATTGATCCATCTAACTTCATTCCTTTGCATGGGAGACTTAATTGCCCAGCACCATTTATTGAAGAAACTATTTTTTCCCCATTTAATGAACTTAACACCAGTGTCAAAACTCAATTGGCCACAAATGCAAAAGTCTAGTTCTTGACTCTAAATTCTATTCTGTTGTCTAGCTTCATGAAAGGACCATGCTATTCTGATTATTGTAACTGTATGATACATTTTGAAATTGGGAAGTGTGAGTCTTCCTATTTTGTTCTTTTTCAAAATCATTTTGACTGTTTGAGGCCCTTTGCAATTCCATATAAGTCTGAGAATTGACTTACATTTCTGACAAACAAAACAAAGACTTGGAATTTTGGTAGGGACTGCATTGAATCTGTAGATCACTCTGGGTAGTATTGAAAATTGGGCAACAAATAAGAAAGACTATAGAAGAATCAATGCATCTGAATTATGTTGGAGAACAATATTGAAAGTACCATGGACTGCCAGAAGAATAAACTAATCTGTGTTGAAGGAAGTCCAGCCAGTATACTCCTTTGAAGCCAGATGGCGAGACTTCATCTCTCAGACTTCAAACCTACTGTCAGGAGAGACCAGTCTCTGGGGAAGGGCATCATGATTGGTAAAGTAGAGGGTGAGCGAAAAAGAGGAAGGCTCTCAATGAGTTGGATTAACACAGTGGCAGCAGCATTGGGTTCAAATGTAACAACAACTGTGAAGCTGGTACAGGGCCGAGCAGTTGTGCATAGGGTTGCTATGAGTCGGAACCGACTTGATGACAGCTAAAACAACAACATTAGATCTTCTAGTTCATGAACATGAGATGTCTTGCCATTTATTTAGGTATTCTTTAATTTCGGTCAGAAATGTTTTATATTTTTCAGTGTTTGCATTTCACCTCCCTTGTTAAATTTTTTCCTAAAAATTTTATTCTTTTAGATGGTATATAATGGAGTTGTTTTCTATATTTCATTTTCAGATTGTTTATGGCTGCTGTATAGAATACAACTGATTTTTGTATGTTGATCTTCTATCCTGCAGTTTTGCTGAAATAATTTATTAGCTGTAGTAGCTTTTCTGTGGATTCTTTAGGATTTTCTGTATATACATATTCATGTAATCTGCAAATGGAAATTTTATTGTTATTCCGATTTGGATACTTTTTATGTTTTTTTCTTGCCTGGTTGCTCGAACTAGAGCTTTCAGTACAGTGTTGAATAGCCGTGGTGAGAGTGGGTATATTTGCCTTGTTTCTGATACAGGGGAAAGCTTTCAGTCTTTGAACATTGAGCATATTTGCTGTATTTATCATGTTAAGGAATTTCCCTTCTATTCCTAGTTTACTTTGTGTTTTTATCATGAAAGAGTGTTGGATTCTGCCAAGGGTTTTCTCTGCATCCTTTGAGATCATCATGGCAGTGCTTGTCCTTCGTTCTATTGTTGTGAAGTGCTGTCGAGTTGGTTCTGACTCATAGCCACCTTGTGTGCAGTTTCCAAGGATGGGCTGGTGAGTTTGAACTGCCGACCTTGTGGTTCAAACTGACTTTGTGGTCCAGTGCTTATCCTACAGCATCACACCAGGACTCCACTTTATTCTATTAGTGTGGTGTTTTTACTTCGATGGCTTTTTTTTTTCTATTTAAAAAAAATTTGTGTGTGTGTGTGTGTGTGAATTGAGTGAAGGTTTACAGATCAGATCAGTTTTACATTCAACAAATCGTACACTTAGTTTCATCTCAATGATTGCAATCCGCTCCAAGCAACAACAGTTATCCTGTTTCTCCCTGTAGTTCCTATTTCTAGTCCCCTTACCTTCCCATCCCTTCTCAATTTGCCCTTAGGTAAATGCTATCCTTTTGATATTGAATTATTCCATTGTGAGCATACCCTACTAGTGTTGTTGTCCCTCCATATACCTATTTACTACTTGGTTGAAAATTGGACCACAAGGGTGAGTTCTTTGCCAGACATGAAGTGTGGTCAAGGACCATAGTCTCAGATTCCTCCAGTCTCTTACTGACCAGTAAGCCCAGTCTTTTTAAAAAATAATTTTGAATTTTGTTCTGTATTTTCTGTCACTCTATCAGAGACCTTCTAATATGATCCCTTTAGAGCAATAGGTAGTAGTAGTTAGGCACCGTCTAGTTCTTACGGTCTGTGAATTGTGAAGACTGATGTTCAAATGTTCAGTTAGTCTGTTGGACTAATTGATTCCAGGTCTCTTCAATTCTCACCACTCTTTCTATAGCACATGGAGAAACCAACAGCTGCACCTTAAATGGCTACTCATGAGCTTTTAAGATTCCAGACATTACTCACCAAAGTAAGATGTCAGACATTGTCTTTGTGGACTGTGTTATACCAGTTGGCCATGGTGTCCTCTGAGACTATGGTCCTGAGCCCCCAGACCCAGCATATTTGATAATATCTTAAGTTTTCATCATTTTGCCTGCTGTATGCTCCACTACATTTATAGTTGTGTTTGCAGGAGATGTAAATACCCATGAACAAATGTCTTCATTCAAACTCATATATATTTGTGGGCATACTCCCATACTCATTCAGGCTTTGTCTCTGACCATGTATCTACCTGTAGAACACCATTGTTCCAAGATTATATATATATATATATATCACTATTTTCCTCTATCCTTACTAGCCTTTGCATGTCTCCCTGGTTCTTCACCTGTCTTCATCATTCTTCGGATAACCTCCCTCTTCTCGTATATTGCCCTCCCTATCATCTGTGCTAAT